TACTTTGCATTCTTTTGATCTAATATTAGTGAATTATAAACTAGTTTAAAAAGAATTTAAGAGAGATTGGTCTCAGGCTGCTTTTTGCTAGATTTTATATATGTTAAAACTGAGTATCATTTTTCACATTAAAGAATAAAATATTTCATTTTGTTTTGTAGAGTGATGTGTACGAAATGAATGATCTCTTAGAGTATCAATCTATTAAAAAGCCCAGAGCAAGCATTATTCTAAATGAGGGAAACATCAGAAACAATCACTTTAAAGACAGGAATGAATAAAGGATGCCCGCTCTTACCACCTCTATTCAATATCTTGATAGAGATCCTTGCCATTGTAGTAAAACCAGAAAGAAATCACAGGCATAAGGATCAGAAATGATGAAATAAAACTGTCATTATCTGAAATGAATATGATTATTTATAGAGAAACTCAAAAAGATCTAAAGTAGATTATTAGATGAATGGATACAAAGTTAACATATAAAAATCAATTTCATTTCTATATATCAGCAGCAAATAACTAGAAAACATAATTAAAGGAAATATTATCAGCCAATATAAATTACTGGTCTACTGTTAGGACTAAGGAGTGTTACTTGTTTCTAATCTAAGAAACAGCGTTCAAAATTCTTTAGGGAAAATTATAAAATTTTACTATGAGATAATAGAGAACACCAAAATGAATGGAGAAGTATGCTATGTTCATGGATACCAAACCAAACCAAACTCACTGCTGTCGAGTCGGATCCGGCTCATAGTGACCCCCTCCTTGGGTTTCCGAGGCGGTATCTCTATGGAAGTAGATTGCTCAGCCTTCTGAGGAGTGGCTGGTGGGTTTGAACCGCCAACCTTCTGGTTAGCAGTTAAATGCCTTTTAACTATGCCACCAGAGCTCCTATGTTCGTGGATAGGGAGCTTTAGTATTATAAAGATATCATTTCTTCCCAATTTGATACAGATTCATTATAATACCAAATAAAATCCAAGATTTTTTATTAAATGTGGTAAGTTGATTGTAAGTAGAATAGGAAGGATACATCTATAGAAGAGGCACTCTGAGGAGAAACGGATGCTATCATATATTGGAATTTATTATGAAGAAGTACTAATTAATGCAGTGTAATATTGAGACAACGATAGACAACTTGGCCAGTGGAATGTAACTGAAAGACCAGAAACACACCTAAGAAAATATGGGATTTGGTATATGGCAAAGTGACAGACCAAAAGGGAAGGAGGAAATATTTGGTAAATAGAGCTGGGAAAAAATAGTTATTTAATTATTTTGGATTCCCTATCTCATACCACATGCAAAAATCAATTGAAGATAGATTAAAGACTCTAATATAAAGCAACACTTTTAAAACTTTTGGTAGAAAATACTGAAAACTGTATTTTTAGTGCTTGAGGTATAGAAAGACAAGACACTAAGTGTTTTCTGTAAAAGTGATTGATAAATTTGATTATCTTAATTTCACTTTATTGTATTCAACTTGGTAATTAGTTTGGTTTCCTTTTTTGTATATAAAAGTTTCAACTTCTCTACAGAAGTCTCATTCTTGTCTTTTAACTTCTTGAATATTAAGCAGTTACTTTAAATGGTGTCTGAAAACTATTATTTGGATCCTTTGTGTTCTATTATCTATTGTTTGTTTTTTTCTTTCTTTCTCTTTAAATCACTTTATTTTGTCTCCTCATAAGTCTAGTTATTTAAAGTAGAACACCAGATGTTGTATATGGAAAAAATTATGTAGAGCTATGTTAAAATCAGGATGTCATCTCACTGCAGAAGACTTTCTTACAGCAGGTGGCTAGACTGGCAATCCCTGATCACCTAAATTCAATGAGTTATGAAAGTTATATGAAGCTGGGCTTTTGTCCCTATGAGGTCTGGTGTATTTTCTTTTCACCCTTCTTCTAGAGTCTGTAGCTCTTCTGGTTCCTCTCAAAGTGTAGAGCATTTATCAGATGCTCCATCCCTGGCAGACCCTGATTGCCTTTATTTTTTTAAACCCTGTACTTTATTGAGAGTTTATCAAAATTTCTCATTTTCTTACCAAAAAAACCAAACCCACTGCTATTGAGTTGATTCCACCTAGCAACCCCCATTGGGTTTCTAAGGCGGTAAATCTTTCTGAAAGTTGATTGCCCCATCTTCCTTCTGTGGAACAGCTGGTGGGTCTCATTCTCTTAGCCTCCTCATAAACAAAATTGGCAGGATATATCTAGGCTAAAAGTGGCCTCTTATTCTGAACTTACCTTTCTGAGTTTCCTTCTCCCAAATCTTGGCCCTGGGATTTTTCATGACCTTCTTAGCTCTCTAATGTCTTTAAAGAAATTTGTTTCCTATTTGTAATCCTTTTTTCATTCTCAAGGTAGAGTTGGTCCCATTACATATGTAGTCTGCCATTACTAAAAGCAGAACATCCTTGTATTAATTTTCACTTTACAGTTTTCTGTAGCAACTTATAAAAATGTGTAAATGTTTTTGTTTCAACAGGGCTTTCTCTAATTATTTACTCACTAATTGAAGAAATGTTTAATAACTATTCATTGTATGTAAGCCACTATATGTTCCATGTAAGCCACTGTATGTTCCATGTTTACAGAAGTACAGAGATGTATCAAGACACCCATTCTGCCTTCATGAAACTTAGCTCTGTAGAGTAGAAGAGGCATGTATAAATGATTATCACGTAGAAAAAAAAACTGAGCATGTGAGAGAGGTATAGGTCAAGTGCCATTCTGGTTTAGAGAGGGGAGATAATTCTTCCATTTCAGAGAATCAGGTTTATGAAAGAAGAAGCTTTTGAGCTGGACCTTGAGTGATAAACACAGGCAGCATTATACTGAATCCTACATTAGGTTAAGAAAAGACACCAGTCACGGTTCCTGCCTCTCAGTGTTTTTTAACCCCGTTGTCCGGTGATTTAAGTGATTCTGATGTTGTGCTAACTGTATTCCCACACATTGAAAGCATTCAAAGTAACATCCCATAAAAAGTGATTTTAGGAGCAGCAGAATTTCTCCTATTTGATGGAAAGATTTTGTGGATAAATGTTTTTAAATGTTGGTTTATTAGCCAGTTTATTTTCCTTTCATGTACTATTTTAAAGTATTTTAAATGAACTTTTGTTTAGGTATAATTTACATATGGTAAGGTGCACCCAAAAGTATAATCTCATGTAACCTCCACCCGAATCAAGATAGGGAACATTTCCATCACCTCCAAAATTTCTTTGCCCCTTCCCTAATTCCCTTCCCTACCTCTGGCCCCAGTCCACTCCTAATCTTTTTTCTGTTGCTATAGATTCATTTTTTTCTGGAATCTCTGGTAAATGGAAGTATTTCATTTTGTGTCTGTCTTCTTTTGCTCAGCATAATGTTTTTGAGATCTATCCGTGTTCTGGTATGTATCCATAGTTTGTTGCTTTTATTGCTGAGTATGACTCCACTGTTTGACTATACCACAATTTGTTTATCCATTCATATAGGTTTGTTCTTAAACTTACTGTTAGGAGCACCTATTTATTTATTTGGTCCGTTGAGTAATCATCTTTGTAATTAAGAGACATTAGTATCTTGAATTCTAAATCTATAGTACAGTGAAAATTGCTTTTGAGGAGTCCCTGGGTGGTACAAATAGTTAAATCTCTGAACTGCTAACCAAAAGGTCGGAGGTTCGAATCCACTCGGAGGCACCTTGAAACAAAAGCCTGATGATTTACTTCTGAAAAATCAGCCATTGGGAGGGGAAGATTGATTTTGAAGAAATAGGCCTCTTACTGCCTTCATAATTGTGCCAATAGAGTATGCTGCTATGATGCAAGTGTTGAAATCATAATATTTTGATCTTGTATTCTTGTAGACTCTTTCAAAGTCTAGGCTTCAGAATGCACATATTGGTATAATTTTAAATACTGAGATAGGTACTGAGACTGTGTAAATAAAATTTAAAAACAATCCAAAATACATTATTACTATTAGTTATTGCCTATAAGACTAGGGAATTTGGGTTTTAACATGTATTTTCAAATTTAGTATTTCAAATTTTAATACTTTTGTATAATGAAATTTTTAATGTAATTTAATATGTGTATTTCATGTTTTTGAAAAAATGACTAGATTAATTATGATTTATTGCTATAGTTTGTGATATTTTTTGAAAAAGACAGTATATAATTTCCTTTGGAACTGGGTTTCTTTTTAAATATTACAAGAAACTATCACTATATTATATTCTCTCATAAAGAATAAGTTTTTATATTTCTTTAGAACTGCAAACTTTCCTGCTATAGGGTTTTTTTTTTATGCTTAATTTGCATAAAAAGTTTCTTATGGAAACTACCTATGTTACATCATCCAGTATCCTCTTGATATTTTATCCCTAAAATGCTGATGTAAATAGGTATTCCTGTCTATCAGTTTTATGCATAATAATACAAAATTGTCTAGTACAGTTCAGTCTTTAAGAGCACAGACTCTGAATTCAGTGACCTGAGTTTTAACCTCCACTTCTTAGCTCTAAAACTTTGGATGACTAGTTTAATTTCTTTGAAATCAATTCCTCATCTGTAAAATGAGGATGATAATAATTTTCATACAGACTAAGGGGACAATTTACATACAGTCCCTAGAACAGTGACTAAACAAATACTTAATTGTTTAATTAATGAATGAATGCCTATTCTCTGTTGTGTGCAACTTGCATCCATTTTAAAAAATTTGATTTGCTCTTAATGTCAATTTGGGATTCTGCTCTAAATCCCAGATGATTGGGGTAGTTCTTGAATGTGGTCATAACTTAGTGAACACTATTAGATAGTGGCCATTTGATGATGATGATAAATGGCATTCTTGAAGTTATGTCCATATCATTTTGTTAGTACCAATTTGAATGCTTCTTATGGTTATTGGCTACAGTGGACAGGAGGAGGGCAGGGATTTTAGTTCTATATTATTGTTCTACATTCTTAAATTCTTTAAAAAATTATTCAGTCCCTGAACAACAGCTGCTTGACATTGAAGATTGTGACCTCAATGTGGTGAGACTATGCTTTCAAGTTTTTCTCCCTGATGAACATGGTAATTTGACAACTGCTCTGACTCCTGTTGTCTCAAACCCAATTTATGACAACCGTAAGTACTTTATTTTCTTGTATTCGTAGGCTTAGATTTTTTTTTTTTTTGTAGTTTAATTTTTTTAAAGTATTTTCATAATTTTTAAAAAGAACATTTTCATTGTAGGAAAAAGTCAAATATTACAGAAATATGTAACAGAGAAAATCTCCTATAATCTCATTCTCCAAAGATAATCACTGTCCTCAGGTGCATATTTCATCAGTTTCTCTCTTTCTCCACAAATACATCATCACTATTATTTACACATCATTATTATATTTTTGGCAGTTTTTAAAAAAATCATCACTGACTTTTTTATAATGTTTTCCTTTTATCAGTATATTTTTCCCTTTCAGTCACCTTATTCTTTTCATTAGCCATGTAGTTCATTATATGAGTCTAGTTCTAATTTTATTAAATTATTACCAAATTACAGGATCTCATGCAGACAGATATTTCTCTAAAGTAAATATCTATAAGTGGAAATGTTGGCAAATGATATATTGCTAGATCAAAGGATATGATTATCTATGGCTTTTTTATTTTATTGTGTTAATATATATATGGGAGCTCTGGTGGCATAGTGCCTAAGGCATTTGACTGCTAACCAGAAGACTGGCCGTTCAAACCCACCAGCCACTCCTCAGAAGGAAGGTTGGACAATCTACTTCCGTAGCGACACCGCCTTGGAAACCCAAGGAGGGTTAGCT